TTTTTTGATCTGTTATAATATCCAAAATAAAGATTTTTGTTTTGGTTCATTCACACACTTAACACACAAAACCTGCACATTTAGGCTGAGTTCGTCTCTCAAACAGAAAACACTCTGTTCTACCTTGTGATGTCATGTGGTAATATAGGAAGTGCTCCACTGTGCCTTTAAATTCCATACACTATCACTAGATGGATACTTTCAGACCTAGAATTGCCTGTTAACTACCAAAAGGAAAATTACCACACCATGACATCACAAGGTGGAACAGAGCCTTTTTAACTTTTGAGGTGTAAACAGACTAATAATAAAGGATTACTCAAACATGTGTGAATGAAACAAAAGACAACTCCAGGCATATTTTAATGAGGTAACAACATTATAGCGTGCTTTAAAGCTCCCAAGAGTCAGTGTCAGTGTGTAATGTAGGATCTTTAATGACTATCATTTAAAAAGTAAAGATTGAGTGATACAAACTAAAAACTAATGGGATGAGTGGAAAACTAGATCCAAGCTCCTGACAGTTTGCATATAATTTCTTTTAAATCAAAGAGTTCCATAGAGAAACACATACACAGATACAAGGCCAGTGAAGTGAAAATCAATACTCATTTAAATAAAATATACTCAGAATAATTAATTATCTAAATCTTTACTTCAACTAAACTTAAACCTTTTGTCAAAAATTTGAATCCAAAAATCTAAACAGGTTGTCAGTGGGAATATCAAAATTATTTGGTTAATCAATAATCATGGTTATTTAAATAAGATCTACATAATAATCGGGACCTCTTTGGAAGTAAAACTTGAGGAACGATGATCTATTATACAAGGGTAATAAAATAAAATCCTGCACTTCACAGTTGTATTGTCGTAGTGATGTCAATAATCGTGTATATTTGTAAAATCATGCATCTCTTCTCACAATAATAGTAACACTAAAATTTGATCATGGAACATTCTCCAACTTGTGAATTCTAAACAGTTGAAAGAAAACAGGTCAGTGCGATAACAGGAAGTCCAAACAAACATGCAGGTACGCTAAGCACCTGAAACAAAGCCAAAATGACTCTTTACATGTTCTCCGGTCTCAGCACGTTCACTCAGCCATGAAAATCCCATCTCCAGGAGAGCAGAGGTGAAGGCCCCCTCAACACATGCACACAAACAAAGGCCCGCTCCATAAGTCCAATTACCCCCAAATGCTAAAGCGTGTTATAGAAGGAGGAGGAGGAGGAGGAAGAGGAGGCAGCGAGCTCCAGGCATTACACAGCACATGGAGACTGGATACTGTAAGACTACGCAATAATAGCAGCAGAAACAGCAAGAGCCTGTCAGTCACAGCTGTCAGACACATCCTGACCACAGACAATAAAATAACTATGATACAACTGTGTTCATCAAACTCACTGCATTAATAAAACACAATTCTTTGCATTTTAAGTCTAGGATTTGATGCTGTTAAATTTTAGATGGAGAGCAGAGGTCAATATTTCTCTATGGGTAATTCATTATCAAATTTCCCCTTCGGATAAAGTCATTTTTTCTGAATTATATAAAAACAATAACAACAACAATCCCAATACACGATTGCACTGTATTCCCTTAACCCTCTGCATATTATATAGTTTACTGATTAATTCCTGTGTTATAGAGATATTCTATACGTAATTTTAATGATACTGTCTCTTTTTAACACTATAATGCTCATAGGAATTCACCTTAGTCAGGGACATTAACCATAAAATAAAATATCATTTTGATGCAAGGTAATTTTTGCCATCTTTTAACTTATGTAAACATCTGAGTCTACATAGTATAAATGGCACAAGAGTATAACTAATTATGCATAATTTGATCCACATTAACACACATGCAGGACTATATGGGAGAGTGTCTTATGAGTTTCTTATGAAAGGCTGTGTTCAGCTGAGAGAACCCATCTGCTTTACGAAGGACACTTGTTTAGGAAAGTCAGAGGCTAAAACTGCAACACATTTCCTCCAAAGAAGCAAAACAAATCAAGGTTCAGTTTGGCCTATATTTGGGAATGATTTGTTTTTGGCTGTGGCAGAAAATAGCAGCGGCGCACAGACTTGTAAATGCACTCAAGCAATTCCCACAGAAGCTGAATTTTACAAGTCATAAAAACCTCAGCTCTGATGTCGTGTTGTCTTTGTTCTTGGTCCATAGAGTAAAACGCAACCAGACGCAAGCAAACACACCACAATGTTTGTCAGGCTCACTGCAGAAGATGAACCTCGCTAATGGGGATTTGAACTGCCACTACACACACTACACACTATACACACCCGGCTGTTTTTCTTTGCTCTTCTGTCACATTAGTCCAATCTAAATCGCAATTTAAAGATGCACTATGAAACTGCTTTGCCTGGAATATACCACAGTATGGTATTTAACTTGTCTATCTTGCATTTATTTAATTAAAGGTCTTTTTATTGTTAAGAAATAACTTGCTTTCCAGGTAAAGTCTATATCAGAACTACACTGCTCTCAATCCAGGAGCAAATGCCATACACCTTTAATGCTATACAGCGGAACATCTCCATGGAAACAAACAGGTAGTGGAGCCTCAACGAGTAAAGTTACACTGTGGACCTTTTAAATGTGTAAATAAATATCTAGATTGTTTTAAAAATGCACATGTAATTAGAGTCTTCAATCTACAGTGACTACAAAGCATGACTAAAAATGGTTCTTTCTCTACAGATTGACTTTGGACAAACATAGTAGTTTAAAAAATGTGGGACCCCCAGATGACCAAAATAACAATGATTAAATGTATCAATAGTCAACTACCATGACAGAAAAAAATCTCAATCAGATATTTATCCAAACAGCACAAGTCCAGCAGATAAAGAGATACACCTCACCCTAACACTCATGTATTATCATCTTAAGTCTGACTTGACTTATCCGGCTCTCCTCCCCACCTGTCCGCTACACGTTTTACACAACTGTAGTGTAATTGAAGGCTCCGAGTGTAAGCCTGGCCTCTGAGGGTCTGAGCAGGTCCTGATCTCGTGGCCTCAACCTGAAACAATCACTCTTGGTTAACGACAACACTTGAGCTATTGACAGCGTGATCCCGTAAAGCAGACACTTCAATCAACAGAGCAGCCCTTAGGAGGTGGAGAAAGAGGTGTGTGCGAGAGAGAGGAGAGGAGAGGGGAGGAAGAGGTGTGTGCGAGAGAGAGGAGAGGAGAGGGGAGGAAGAGGTGTGTGCGAGAGAGAGGAGAGGAGAGGGGAGGAAGAGGTGTGTGCGAGAGAGAGGAGAGGAGAGGGGAGGAAGAGGTGTGTGCGAGAGAGAGAGAGAGAGAGGAGAGGGGAGGAAGAGGTGTGGTGCGAGAGAGAGGAGAGGAGAGGGAGGAAGAGGTGTGTGCGAGAGAGAGGAGAGGAGAGGGGAGGAAGAGGTGTGTGCGAGAGAAAGGAGAGGAGAGGGGAGGAAGAGGTGTGTGCGAGAGAGAGGAGAGGAGAGGGGAGGAAGAGGTGTGTGCGAGAGAGAGGAGGAGAGGGGAGGAAGAGGTGTGTGCGAGAGAGGAGGAGGAGAGGGGAGGAAGAGGTGTGTGCGAGAGAGAGGAGAGGAGAGGGGAGGAAGAGGTGTGTGCGAGAGAGAGAGAGGAGAGGGGAGAAGAGGTGTGTGCGAGAGAGAGGGAGAGAGAGAGTGTGGAGAGAGGAGAGGGGAGGAAGAGGTGTGTGCGAGAGAAAGGAGAGGAGAGGGGAGGAAGAGGTGTGTGCGAGAGAGAGGAGAGGAGAGGGGAGGAAGAGGTGTGTGCGAGAGGAGAGAGAGAGAGAGAGGGGAGGAAGAGGTGTGTGCGAGAGAGAGGAGAGGAGAGGGGAGGAAGAGGTGTGTGCGAGAGAGAGGAGAGGAGAGGGGAGGAAGAGGTGTGTGCGAGAGAGAGGAGAGGAGAGGGGAGGAAGAGGTGTGTGCGAGAGAGGAGAGGAGAAGGAAGGAAGAGGTGCGTGCAAGAGAGAGGAGAGGGGAAGAAGAGTTGCGTGTGAGGAAGAGGAGAGGGGAGGAAGAGGTGTGTGCGAGTGAGAGGAGAGGAGAGGAGAGGAGAAGGGAGGAAGAGGTTTGTGCAAGAGAAAGGAGAGGGGAGGAAGAGGTGCGTGTGAGAGAGAGAGGAGAGGAAAGGACAGGGGAGGAAGAGGTGTGTGCGAGACAAAGAAGAGGAGAGGGAAGGAAGAGGTGTGTGCGAGAGAGGAGAGGGGAGGAAGAGGGGTGTGCGAGAGAGGAGAGGAGAAGGGAGGAAGAGGTGCGTGCAAGAGAGGAGAGGGGAGGAAGAGGTGCGAGTGAGAGAGAGAGGAGAGGAAAGGGAAGGAAGAGGTGCATGCAAGAGAGGAGAGGAGAGGGCAGGAAGAGGGGTGTGCGAGAGAAAGAGGAGAGGAGAGGGGAGGAAGATGTGTGCATTAGAGAGAGAGGAGAGAGTTGGAAGAGGTGCACGTGAGAGAGACGGGAGGAGAGAGTTGGAAGAGGTGTGTGCAAGAGAGAGGAGAGGGGAGGAAGAGGTGCATGCAAGAGAGGACAGGAGAAGGTGTGTGTATGAGACGGGGGGATAGACGGAGGGAGAGGAAGAGGTGTGTGCAGGACAGAGGAGAGGGGGAGAGAGGGAGTGGGGGGAGAGAGTGATAGAAGAAGACGGAGATAGGGAGAGTGGAAGAGAGAAAGAGAGAGAGAGAGAGAGAGGTGAGAAATAAAGAGAGAGAAGAGAGAGCAGGGAGGAAAGAGAGAGAGGAGATGGTGAGGGGTGAGAGACAGAGTAAGAAGAGTAAGAAGAGGTGTGAGGGAGGGACGGGGAGAGACGAGAAAGGGAGAGGGTGAGAAAGAAAAGAGATTGAGAGAGGAGGGAAGAGAGGGAGAAAAAGAGAGGATGTAATCAAGAAGTAAATAAATGAATCAATGGATGAATAATAGATAGGGCAGTAGCAGTAGCAGTAGCAGTAGCAGTAGCTGATGCAGTATGAATAGCTGATCTTACTGTGGCTCTCTGTGTCATCACTGATACTCTTAGGTGGACCATGGCCAGCATAACACACTCCTGATCTGTACATTCGATCCGGATTACGAACTTTCTTCAGTCCTTCAGGAGCAGAGAGAAAAGTAGAGAAAATCGAGCAACAGAAACAAATCTACAAGCCTGTGATAAGCAAACTCCCCATGCAAAAAGCAATATGGGCTAAATAAAAGATACACACAGTAACCTTTTGGATACAAGACAGGAATGCATCACAAGAGACTGTTGTAAACATGCCTTAGTATTTACATTAGAGAAAATAACAGAAAAACACAAATGAGTGTGTTGGCATCGATTGTGTGTAAGAAAACATGCAGGAATCAGGGTCATGGCACTTTGGTCTAGTTTACGATACAACCTTGCAAACTCAATACTGTAGCACTTTCAATCCACCTCAAGGATGATAGTAATAGAATGGAATTTTCAACACTAAATCATTGTTATTTTGTATATTACCATGTACTCTGATACCTTGATCATCTGAGACATATTTAGTAAAGGTCTGATTTGGTCCTATTAACATGTTTTTATCAGCATCCATGTTTAAATGAGTATGTAGCTTCAATACTAGTTTCAGTATGGATAAGTATCTGGTCTGGTTTGATAAAAGTCAATAAGGGTTCCTATTGTGTCGCAGGTAAACAGAAGAACAGAGCAGAGGCTAATAGGGCCTAATAAGAAATTCATTGCAGTTCAGAGCATGTCTTTAATCTATTCATACTCACAACTGTGCATGAAAAGAAGCATGTACTTCTACTGTGAGTAAAAAGCTGAAGAAATGGGTCAGTCAGAACCAAAACTTAAGCTAACTCACCCTATGCCTTCTCAGTTCTGCTGTAACCACATAAATCCTTATAGTCCTGACAAAACCACAATGTCACCATCCACACCGTTCTGGGTCAATAAAAAGGCTTCCTCTTCCCCAAACAACTCACAAATATTTATACCTCCATTGTATTTCAAATTTATCATTTTATATTTAAGATGAATAAGTACAAAGAGCTCATACTGCCCCTCACATATTTAAGATTCAGTACAACACACTATCAGTCCAAGATGTAAAAATACTGCTATGGCAATGGGAATGTCTTTTTAAAACATATATTTGTATGTGCTGTGATTATATTCCAGAGTGGACCGTACATCTGAAATAGAGCTGAACTGAAACTTGAATGTGAGATGAGAAAGCACACACCGCATTGGACTAAACTGGAACTAAACCAGCAACTCAAACCTCGACTAAATAAGATAGAACCAAAACAGGAGTAAACCAAGTCTACATCAGGATTAAAACTGGGCTCATACATGGACCTAACAAGTACAAGTGTGAAGTTAGTTAGTACTTGGTGTTGTTTTTGCACTCTGACTTTTGAATGGCTCAATTGTGGTAATACTAATACAAGCATATATTTGAAATCAGATTTGTCATTTAACTGTTGGGGGAAGGTTTGGGGAAGAACGATTTGTTGAGTATTCATTGGTTGAAGAAAAGTGTGAACATTTTGATTTGAAATCTAACAATTAGGTGCAGTCTCCAGATGGGCCTCAGAGTAAAATAAACTGTGCGGTTGTGTGTTAATTCTCACGTGATGTCTCAAATGTCAAAATGAGATGATCTGAGAGTTTAACACAAGTCATTTATTTGTGCTGGCAGCAAAGGGTCAAGGTCTTTGTAGTTCCTCTGCTTTTTACCATGATGCAGCTGTAACAAAACGCTACAGTGCATTTAGCCCCAGGCCCAGGAGCTCTCAGTTGAATTATTGATTGATTATTTCAAGCATGTGATCAATTATAAAACTTGCATCATTTATTGAAATTTGCTGTTCAGAGGAAGCCTGTTATTGTATTGTTGTATTATTTTTTCTTGGTGGACCAACTGGCTAAAGAATATACACACACTTTATTTTAACACTTGAATATAAAGAGATAACTGCACAAAACGTGATGAAACAGCTCCCTTACAAGTTTGTGGTAAAAAAGGGGGGCTGTGGGTGAGTTTGTAATGAATTTAAATTACAAAATTTGGAAAGAATAAGCAAAATAGCCCTACATATCGGACCAAAAATATCAGCAGAGTAAATCAACCTGCAGTTTCTGTGGATTATCATCGGTATTGGCACTGGCCATGAAAAACCATAGCAGACAATCTCTACAGGGTAACACATCTGCTCATGGAGATTCCACACTATGGCATTAAACATAAATCATAAATTATCTTAAAATACAAATCAGATCTGTCAAAAGGTGACCCAGCTCACAATAAAAATTAATGCTTTTCAATATAATTTTTGAACAATACAATTGATGCTAGATCAATATGTTGAATGCCATACTGAGGAACAGGCAAAACAGTAACACCGACATGGAGACAAGAAGGTGACAGACCACTAATCAGAACACTTATGCAGTGCACATTTAAGCTATTTTAGATCATTATTAGCACATTTTAGTGTGACACTGGCCTAGTCCTTGTGGCCTACAAGTTAGTGTCTTTTACGAGTTTGCTGAGAATTTGTCTGCAGAGGAGAGTCCAGGATGTAAACACAAGAGGAGTGTGAGTGAGACCAGGTCATGACCCCTGACGTTTAACACCCGCTGAAACTCTTACTGATCTGAGCCCCATCACAGGGACCCACACCTCACAGAGACCAGGCCAGAGGAGCAGGAGAGCAGAGGAAGAGAGGAGGAGAGGAGGAGAGAAGGAAAAGAGGAAGACAACTGGACTGGACTGATGAATGTTGTTCTAGCAATTAACAATTCAAAACAATATTCTTTAATAAGTCCTTCAAATGTCACCAATAAACAGGAAGAGGAGCAGGAGTAGGAGAGAAGAGAAGCAGAGGTGGAGAGGAGGAGAGGGAAGACAAGGGGATGGGAGAAAAACTGTATCCACAGGTTTCAGAGTGATGCGATGACAACAAGTAATTCAAAACTATATTCTGACTTTTGTATGGTTAAAAGTCCTCAAAATGTCACCTATAAACAGGACGCTGAAACCAATGAATAGGAAAACAGGGTGATATAAGGGAGGAGGGCAGGAAGGAGAGGAGGAGAGAGGAGCGACAATGGGAAGAGGCGGAGAGGAGGACAGAAGGTTAAAGTGGCACTGGGCTCTGTCTCTGACTGCATCATACACAAACAGGACTACCACAAACTTGTTTTAGATTTTAGAGACGATTATTGTGAGAAAAATATTGGAAATTTATTATCATAATTTTTATAGTTATTGTTGACACCCTGGAGAAAAACAGAATGTGTGAAACATTTTAAAATTCAAATATAAATGCCTTGTTTATATTATGTGATCAGTTCCATTAAACCAGACTCCCTAGTTTATAAAAAATAAATAGAATTGAACTTTTTATAAAATCTGCAGTATGATGCAAAAGTTATTAATATTTGTATTTTTAAAGTGTTTTTAATGGACTTTAATAAACTTGGATTAAGTCAGATTTAGCTGATTTCATAATTTGTAGAGCTATAGCTAATCTTCCAAAATATGTGCAGTTATATCACAATCAATCCTACAACACAGTTAGGATAGTGATATAATCTACTATGAAATATTCAATTCACCACGTGTAAAAACACAGCCGACAAAATAAACATCAGACAGTATTTCCGTAATAGTAAACAGTGAGGCTTAAAATGACTGGTGACATAACCTAAAATCCTCTCTCCTTTCTCCTCTCTTCTCTTCTTTACTGACCAACCTCAAATAGCACCTAAAATAACTTCACCTCAGCAAAGGGACTCAAGAGAGGGCATGCAGTAATATCTTCTGGGTTAGACCACAACAGTCTGCTCCTAACTTGTATTTAAGTGATTTCTACAACACAACATCGTCAAGTCATTACTATCACAAATTCTATGTCTCATTTTTGGTCATAGCCACAGACAGTCCATTCATTAACACATTATGGGAGCGTCTTTAGCTCAATTGCACCCCCTTGTGGTACTTTACTCTCCTACTTGGCACACTGGCATCCAAACAAACTGGAAGCCTCAACGATTTTTTGTTTTGTTTTTGTTTTTTGTATATATATAATTTTCCTAAAATGTGCAACAGCAATTTGTTTACCCGCTTTCACGACATTAAAGACTTCAAAAGAAATTCGCGTTTGGGGTGACTGACAATGTCGCTTATTCAAAAGCTTGTCCCAACATGAAAACCTAACAATTTATGTGCATGCTTTTATTCTCTCTCCCTCTAATCATGCAGCCAATTTAAAATGACTCGTTGACAGCCAGTGGGGACTTGGTTTCCGTAATAAAAGTAGTAATAGAAACCATAGCTGAGCACAAATGGCGGTGTGTTATTAAATACAATAGGCTATTTCAATTGACTAACCATTTCATTTACCGGGATAAATAGCAGAAAGCTTTAAGTAGACGCAATAACAAACCAATTTCAAGTTTAAAAACATAGGCTATTCGTTGTGAGTCATGCAAGAGCGATTTTATTTCCTTTTGACAATTCTAAAAGATAGGCTATTGGCTTCCTAAATTAGATTAGAACTTATGTAGCCAGCCTGTATTTCACTAAATGATCCTACAGTTTGCATTTTGAGTGAGGAGCCATGGTGAATCAGGTAAACGCGAGAAAAGTCCGTGTTTTGTCCGTATATGAGCAGCTTCGGTGTGGCGGCTGGAGGCTGCTTCTCCATCCTCCCTGCCTGCCTCGTCTGCTCAGGATGTGATGGCATTTCGCTTCGAGTGCGAGGAGCGGAGCGGGCTTACAGCGTTACATTTGGTCTCAAAGCAAAAACAGACCAAGTCAAGAGAATGTGCGGAGCAAAAGTGGCGTTAGAAAAGGCACACATCACTTTGAATGAGATACACTGATTACGAACAGCCCTTCTTCTGACAATTCTTGCGCGTCGACGGAAAAGTAAGCGACACTCCTCAACAAAATAAGGATTTTACAGATGTACAAAGGCTAAAAGCATTTAAAACACGCGTGACGACGAAGCCGAAGCCACTTTCGATCAAAATAATGTAAAACTAGGGCGCGAAGAAGCGAGAAGCCCGCTTTTTGAAGCTTGGCAATAAGGAAAGAAGTTAGTCGATTCCAATGACATGTTGTCATTCACTTAGCGGTGTTTAAACTAGTCAAACTAATGGCGTTCAGACAAAAGCCTTGACCAAATACGCGGTAACAGTAGTATTATTGTGTTGCCGACTGTTTTTGGCCGTGGCGTGCTGGAAATGTGGGCTACGATGGGAATAGTAGCTGGCTACGTAAGCTAATATTAGCTGGCTAGGTATGTCTCCACGTTTTAGCAGCCTGTTCGGGTGAAAACAGCGGCGCCGTTTTCTGCCGAGCATTTCTCTACTTGCTCTCACCCAAATGTCTTTCCTACACAGAGTTAGAAGTGTTGTAAAAACACAAGGCGCTCATACTACTAAATTAATCCCATTATATTTCTCTTACCTTCCGGCTTGTTTTCGGCAGCCATTTCCCCTTCACGCGCAACATCCTCCTCCTCCTCACGACCGTGGGTACCACGCGCGTGCACGGCGAGGACAGCACGAGGAGGGACCGGAGGAGCACGCGGCGAGTCGGTCCGACCGAGGCCAACTTCCCATTGGCTCTGAGCGCTGACTGACACGAGCAGCTCCGGAGGAAGACGCAGCCCCCTCACCTTGGCGTCGCCACACGCCTTTCTTTTGCTTTACTTTCTTTCTACTGTGAATATTGACAATCTCGGTGCGCTGCAAGTCTAGTATTGAGATTTTACAGAAATAAGCTGTTATCATGCTGCCTTGCCCAAGTGAACCTTGAAATGAATATACATCCTGTAATATGCCATACCCTAATGATTTAATCTGGTTTAAATAACGATTTAAGGCTATTCTAAAAACAGAGATTAAGTCATTTTGTGTTGGCTATTTTCAAGGGAAAAACACAATTCTCCCTATAACATTTATGCACGCTATTAGAAGTGAAGTGTGTTTATGTTATGTTATGTGTATTGCCTACAAATGACAGTTCATCTCTTTTTATTTGACATAAACAGTTCATCATCGTTATTAAAATATCATTGTGGCGGACTGGCTCTCTCTCCTCGCTCAGCACAGCGCAGCAGCCCTCTGAAGCGTCTGACCTGCGGGTCCCAAAGCGGTGATCGTGTGGTGCTGAAAGGACAGCTCCTCCTCTGTCTGCTAATACTGCTGCTGCTGTATCACGGTTAATGCAAAGAAAGTAATAACGAACTAATGAAAGCTTTAATGTAGTCAACTTATTTTGCCACCCATTGCCCGAATGAGATTAGCTAAATAGAATGTAAAAGCAGTTAATTCTTGGATAGACTGAATTAAAATAGTTTTAATGAGCCACTTTAGCGACTAGGTGGGCGTTAATACCAACATTTTGTTAGATAAAAACTCAGATGTGAAAATGTGTTTTTACTTAATTATTTTACAGTCTTGTGGGAGAATGCAAAATCACAGTGTTTTTCAGACAAAATACATTATAGCCGAGGCTACATTAAGGCAAATTTATTATTGTAGTCCTATTACAAGAAACACATGTATTCAGTATTTAACATCAATTCAGTAACAAAACAACAGTGACATCAGGCGGATTATTAAAGTCACCATTCTCTTCCCTTAACTTTAATGTCTATTTATCTAATAGTTCTGACAATACAAGTTATTTCAGATAGTCTAAGTAGTGGTACTTTTTAGGGCATCACAATCAAGTACAAATTGTCTCCAACTCATTTCAAATCATTTTATTGTTTTATTTTATTTAATGTTTTTTTGTGTTGTCAAAACAAACCCAATGTGCGTTGAAAAAGCGCGCACGCACATTGAATGATAAAAGCAGTGCTGTGTTCACTCACTCACGAAGCAAGGGGGCGCACTGTGCACAGAGAACAGCGCCTCTGCAGCTGAAGAAGACATGACCGGCTGTAAACATGGCGTCAGCCTTAGACGAGGATGAAATTTGCAAAGATGATTATTATTCGCTGTTAAATGTCCGAAGAGAGGTATGGATTGTTTTTGTGATTCGAATGGATGTGTGTGTAGGTCCGCGAGGTCGATAATAGTTAAACGTGTCCCGCCTCCGCCAGGTCCCTCACGTGTAATCTGACTTCACATTCAGTGTATGACCCACGATTTTGACTTTGGCTATACCTAACACAAGTTACTAGATCTGACAACCTGGTTACAAAACAAGGGACAGACTGAGAAGGTATTTATAACAATACGGATGTTTGGCGGTAGAGCATGTAAAACACATTTTGTTCTCAACTAGGGCTGCACAATATATCGCAATGAAATCGAAATCGGCTATTTGAGTTAGCGCAAATTATCAAATTACAAAGGCTGCAAATATTTTGGTAATGGATTGTCCTTTGCAAAGAATTAAATATCCTGCCTTTTTATAGCGAAATCTTCTACTTGTAATTTATACTTTTACACACATTTTGTGAAATTTCTGTGGCTCTGTCATAGTTTTACAGTTTATATGCAGCATTCTCTCAATTGTAATGATCCTGTAGTTGTTTACAATGTAATATAATGTAATATATTGCAAATATCCTCACAATACTTTACCTCCTACTGTCAAGTATACTATATCTCCATGTATGACCCTAAAACTATCTTATTTCCTAAATATATGTTTTTACAGATAAATCCTTGGACTTACCTGCTTTGTATTTGCTAATTTTATTTAAAGAAAGCATCCCCCATATTCTGTCAGATGTAGAACTTGAATGTGATCCTGTGCAATCAATCAGCAGTGGCACGTTGCAATGAAATGTTCAAATTTCTGTCAAAACTGCTCTCTGTCAGTACAAAATTTACATTGAATATGGAGTAGCTTCCCTTTTTCCATTTTTATTTTAAAAGTTGTGTTAAATATGTGTTATTTCTTGCAGGCCACACAAGAAGAACTGAAGGCAGCATACAGGCGACTATGCATGCTATATCATCCAGACAAGCACAGAGACCCTGAGTTAAAACGACAGGCTGAACAACTTTTCAATTTGGTGCATGAGGCATATGAAGGTACATATATTCTAGTTTGTTTCAGTTAGTCCTGCATTAAATGGTTAATTCATAAATTTACATTGAAAATCTCTATAGTGCTCACTGACCCACAATCCAGAGCAATCTATGACATCTATGGCAAACGAGGACTGGACGTGGACGGATGGGAGGTAATGCACAAAATTTGTTGTAGTTTAGTCAGATTTATTGTTTGATTTTACAGTGTTGTTTGAAAGGATGCTCATGACACCAACAAAACCATTATGAAGTAAAATTTTTGATTTTAGGTGTGAAAAAAAAAAATCTGAAAAAAATGTTACTGGCTATTTTATCATAAGGAATGGGTTATATTACAAACATGAATGAAAGCTAAAATAACATGATTTTGTTTTGTTTTTTTAGCTCTCTTATAGATATAAACAAATTTGATATTCTAATTTTGCATGTCTTTCTTTAAAATACATTTAATTATTTTGTTAAATATTACCCATCTGTAATCACAAGTATTATTCTTTGTCAAGTCCTGTTGTTTCCTCCTGATGTGCCTTGTCATATATTTGCACTGCAGGTGGTAGAAAGGAAGAGGACTCCTGCTGAGATTCGAGAGGAGTATGAGCGTCTTCAGAAGGAGCGTGAGGAGAGAAGACTGCAGCAAAGGACCAATCCCAAGGTGTGTCCACTCAAACAAAGTCACTCTATTGTGCTTGATCGATCAGCCTGTCACAACAATACATTTCATATTACATATACATATTACACATTCTCGAAAATATTGAAATAAACAAATATATAATATAATATTAAAAATCTCATAACACCATTGGGACTAGTTCTGTCACAATACTAAAACTTCAGTCTTAGTTTTTGATAACAAACCTAACTGAGACAATTAACCTAGTTTGATAAACTCAGTGAATCCTCAATGAACCATCTTGTAAATTAGACATGCTTCAGTAAATGCATAATGAAAATGCATTACTCTATAATTAAAAGTCTTATTATATATCATATTATATATCAAAATATGTGATTAGTACCATACACCACCACCAATATGGAACTGTTGTAATTATTATTACGATAGTAGTTATCATAAAATGCCTACTGATCAAGGGGTACAATTATTCAGTATAAAAATATAAATGTTCATGTAATGTTTTTTCAGGGAACCATTAGTGTTGGTATTGATGCCACAGACCTCTTTGATCGGTATGAAGAAGAATTTGAGGATATGGATGGAGGGGGAATGCCACATGTGGAAATCAATAAAATGCACATAGCACAATCCATAGAGGTAACATTTGATTGATTGTTTGTTAAGAAAACTATCGTGATAAACTTTGAAAACATCTATTGAGCATTCCTCTATAGGCCCCTTTAACTACAAAAGATACAGCCATTCTCTCTGGCTCCTTATCAACTCACAATGGCAATGGAGGCGGCACCATTAACCTGGCCCTGAGAAAGGTCACCTCCGCAAAGGGCTGGGGAGAGGTATGTAGGATTTCTTTCTCATTTGTTAACATTTATTGTGATACAGCTACAGATGGGCGATATTGATAAAAATGTGTTTATTTCTGAGTATCACAATTCATTGTAATCTGAAGGTATTTTGGCAGTCTAAAAGAAATGAGCTAAAATGGGGTTCAGTTGAGGTAGTGACAGACCAATATGAAAGGTCTGTAAAATTACCCATAAAAAAAACAGAAATATACTCTTGTTTTAAAGATTACTACAAGTTAAATAAATGTTTGAGTGTCCAATATAATAACACATTTTTGCATATCTTCAGAACAGTTACAGTATTAATAATTCTGTATTCCCTGCCTCTACTTACGACACATATAGATATTGTACCGTATGGAAAAAAATTGTGTATGTGTGTATATATGTATGTATATGTATATATATATATATATATATATATATATATATGTATATATGTATATATATATATATATATGTGTATATATATATATATATATATATATAACATTTATTTTTATTTTTTTCCATTTGTCACACACTGCATATTCTTTACATGTAACAGATAGAAATTGGGGCTGGGGATACTCATGGACCTCTTTTTGGAATGAAGATTTTTAGAAATTTGACACCTCGCTGGTACGTGCAGAACTCCACAAGACACCAAATGCAACAACATGCAACCAGCAATTATGTAAATCAGTTATTTTTTTTTGTTTTTAGCTTTGTAACTGCTCAGTGTGGGCTCCAGTTTTCATCCAGAGGGGCACGGCCTGGTTTTACGACAGTGCTAGCACGTCACCTGGACAAAAACACCATGGGCTACCTGCAGTGGCGCTGGGGCATGCAGTCCTCTATGAACACTAGCATTGTACGGGACACTAAGAGCAGCCATTTCACTTTTGCAGTGCAGGTGAGAACATGTGAGCCTGGTTTGAATTGGTTAATGTTAGTGTCATGTTGGGATGGTCTACTGTGATTGATCATTCGAAGTGCTGAGATTTAAGAGCAGGGTTATTTTTTTAAAAGTTAGGAAAATGTACTATAGTCAAGGTTAGTTTTAGGGAAATGGTTTAAGTGTAGGAACAGGATTATGTTAATTTTCAGAACATTGTTAAATCAGACAATTTATGCAAAATCTACATTTTAGAGCTTTTAACCATTTTTTACCATTTACCATTTACCCACTCAAAGTTGTATTTGGAGTGGTTTGTGCATGTTTAAGCAATCTTTAATTGCTTATTTTCAAGACGCCATATTCAGCTCCTGTTTTGATCGCTACTGGTATACACCCACTGCTCTCTAATTAAATTCTCTAATTCTCTCATTCTCTAATTACATTTTCTTAATCAGTGATACGCTTAGGATTCGGCAGCATTGTGGAGTAATTTTGCTACAAATTCCCCAAAAAATCATCTGCTTGCTAGCAGGATGTGTACCTATCTATAGGAGGTGCCAGCAGTTCCATAGTTCTTAGTTGTTATGACATTTGCAGTGACATTAGCTCCCATTGAGCACCTTTTTCTTTTATCAAGTCAGTTTAGAATTGAGATTTTAAAATGTGGAACGCATAAAAACAGTCAAAAATGTTCGGTCTGTTCATAGCAAAAGAAGCTAAAATATTACCATGGCAACCAAAGCTACACGATCTCTCCGGACCAGACTATCTAGCACTTGGACATGAGATAACACTAGTTTTCATTTGAACTGTTTTATTCACATTTCAGCTTGGCATTCCTCACACTTTTATGATGATGAGCTATCAGTACAAGTTCCAGGATGATGACCAGACAAAGTTAAAGGGCTCAGTCAAGTAAGTTTTTATGATTTGATATTTACAGTTGCGTGACACAATTTGCAATTTACACCTCTACCACCATCTCCTGGCTACACCTCTAACTCCCAGATGCCCATCTTATTCTAGTTTAATACCTCAGTCACTGTTTAACTCTGTTCTTTAGACTCTCACAATTGAATGGCTGCAATTATTATCAAACTGAAATTGCTGCATTTATCCAGGTAGTAGAAAAACCTACCCCCTTCTAGGGTTGTCATAAAATTCAGAAAATCAGATACTAATTAATACTATAACTAGTATGAAAAGTAGATACTCATATATACCAATACTAAAAGTCACATTAACGGGACAGAAATGGCATTCTGTTGTCTAAATACAGAGCGTTTCTTATTATCATTGTGTTATCAGAATCTGTATTGATTATTGAGAATATTACATTAGACACATACACATTGAGTTTGAAATTTTAGTATTGTGACAACACTAACCCCTACAAACAGGTTTTACTCCTGCAAAATACTCCTGAATGTGCTTAAGGTGTATTCACACGTCCTAGTTTTAGCCCAGTTTGAGTCCAAATGTAGACTTGGTTTTGTCCTGTCCTAGTTGTGGCTTAGTTCTGGAGTGGGTCCCAGTTTTGATGTGGTGAATATGCAAGTCTGAATGCCCCAAAGTGTGCAATATAAACATTGCATTTGCACATTGCATTTTGCACTTGTGCAGTCCTCATTTATAGTCAAGACATCTGGCAATTTTATTTACTGATGTTCCACTGTAGATGCAAATGGTGGTTATTCTTCTGCCATAGGTCCGGTTTCTTTGGCACAGTTGTGGAGTATGGTGCTGAGAGGAAGATCAGTCGACACAGTGTCTTGGGGGCAACTGTCAGCATCGGTGTGCCCCAAGGCATCTCCCTCAAAATCAAGTGAGTTTGGCCGACTGCAGTGTTTACACTGAGTCATGTCTAGAACTGTGTGTGTACAATCAACTTGTATTTTATCTCCTACTTTTACTGGTGATTTTTAATCTGTTTTGCCTTAGACTTAACAGGGCAAGCCAGACATATTTCTTCCCAATTCACCTGACGGACCAACTGCTGCCAAGTGCTGTCTTCTATGCCACAGTCGGACCACTTGTTTTCTACATTGCAATCCAGCAACTAGTTATTCGGCCCTACATGCGTGCCCAAAAGGAACAGTAAGAAACACAAATGAATGCAGCATAATGTTATATTGTTATGGATATATTTTGTGTGGTACTTTACATATTCTTTATCCCTGCTCTATACAGAGACTTGGAGAAACAGCGGGAGAGTTCAGCCTCCAACATTGCCAAGAAGAAACAGGAGGCAGAAGCAGCTGTGAGTATCTGGCAAAACCCTAACCCTATTTGCCATTCAAATTATTACTAAGGCAAAATTACATAATGCTGTCAAGTGTATAGGACTCAGTCTGTTATGTGATGCACCAAAAGGTCTACTCTACACTCGGGCCTTAGAGGATGTACTTTGTGTCATAGCCTTTTTTATCCACAGTTCAGAGTGCCTGGTGCATTCACACTAGAGTCCTGGTCTAGTCTTGGTTTAGTCTCAGATTTGGTCTTGGTTTAGTCTCAGTTCTAATGTGGTTTAAGATAGAGCAATATATTGGTTCCAATATTGGTGTTTGTGATATCTAAGGTAGGGATGCACCAATCCAGCTTTTTCAGTTCTTATACTGATTTTAATACTATGGAATTAAGTATTTGATTTAAGATGAGATAAAACTGACAGAACTGACTACAGAGCAACTTTTTTAGGCCAAACCAGAATATCGGGTGAACCCATATTTGGAAGCTGATATCCTTTCTAGCAAATTTGATATGAATATCTGATCCCAATATAGGATCTATACATCCCTAATCTGAGATTTCTTCCAGAAATCGGTATCAGTGCGATATTGAAAATTTAGCCAATATTTGGCTTCCTAATCTCTGTGTGCTCATGACACATGACACATGAGCATACAGAGATGCACTAATACAGCTCTGACAAGCTGGGGATGACATATTCCCAGACTAATTCAATTTTATTATTACTTTTACAAAAGTGAAAAGTTGATGTTTAAAATGTACAACAAACAACTGCCATCTACTGGTAAAGAAAATCTAATAAACTTGCAGAGAGTAGCTTTAAAGCCTTAAACAAAATACCCATTATGGTGAAAATGAATAGCTCTCTACATTGTTCATATATATTATATGCAATGTTCTTTTGTTTCACAGTTGTCTTGTTTACTTTTTTGAAGGTCTTGCTCATGCAGGAGTCTGTTCGCAGGATCATTGAAGCCGAAGAGTCTAGAATGGGTATTGTCTCTTTTACACTCTCTCTATTTGACTGTTGAATTGACTCTAGTATAATCTTTGTGTTGATATAAATGTATTTAGTTCATACCTGTTTTATTGGTGTATTTGGTGGTTTTTGGACGAGTAAATTGTGTTGCATTAGATTTATTCACCCTCAGACTAAATTGTAAAGGTAGCACTCAAATATTCTGACTACTACACTCTGTCTGCCCTAATTACAAAACATTTTATCGACCACAAATCTGGAAGAAATGGTTTGACACGTTTTGGTTTAGTATGATAACAGATTGGCTGTGCCTCAGCAGTCCTCCCTCTTTTGCTTTGTCGCCTGCAAAAGCCTTGCCAGAGGGTTTGTGAGAGCTAGGAATAGGTTAAGGGTTGCAGTTTAAATACTCCCTTCCTCCTTTCACAGTTTGAAAAATTGTTACCCCTGCTTTAATAAACACAAATGGAATTTCTATATATTTTTTTCTAGCTTTAACAGGACAAGATCTCCACAGTTTAAAATAAAAAATAACTCCCTGTATTATTTTTTGCTCTTTTAGGTCTCATTATCCTCAACGCCTGGTATGGCAAATTTGTCACTGATAATAGCAAGAAACATGAGCGAGCAAAAGTCATAGATGTTACCGTGCCATTACAATGTCTGGTGAAAGACTCAAAGCTTATCTTAACTGAAACCGCAAAGGTATGATTTCTTTTACTTCTAAACCCAAACATAACTTTTTAAGATTGTTTGTTGACATGGGGTTATTTTTTAGTCGGGACTGCCTGGCTTCTATGACCCTTGTGTGGGGGAAGAGAAGAGCCTCAAAGTGCTGTATCAGTTCAGAGGAGTAATGCATCAAGTTCTGTCTGGAGACACAGAGCCGCTCAGGATACCAAAACAATGTAAACTCTCCCACTTCAGAACACTAACTCGCAAAACGATTTTGCTTTATAACTTTGTTGTTGTTGCTTTTTTTCTTTGCAGCTCACAGGATCGATGGCGACACATAAGGATTACTGTGCTGACCAAAACACCTGCATCTGTGGTCTGACAGATGTGTGGTAGACCTCTGTTTTAGCTTATGTTCGTTTGAATACTTGTTACAGAGAACATGCATTTACCTTGTGATCTTTTAGTCATTTATACAGAGTGGAGTATTGTGATCACGACTGAATTCATCTATTCAGTGTTTATGGACAAGGTTGTGGCCTGCATAAATTGATACTATGATGCCAAAATCATTGCACACCGTTGGGATTTTGGGTATTTTGCCTTGCAGGTATCCATATACTGGTGTTATAGCATGTAATACATGATTGACTTATGTACTGTATTGTACACAAGCTGCAGTGCCTATGTGTGATTGAATATAATAAATGAACACACTTCTATTTCTCTCGTAAACAATTGTGTGTGTATTTTTGTTTGGCCATTCAACACACTGAAAGTCAGCAGTCTGCTATAGCCTATGTGTTTCTTAAGAAAATGATTGCCATACAATAGTTCACCTTTAATACATTACAAATTATGAGGCTAATGCAGCAACTGGCAACCTGTATAAATTGCAAACCTTTCCAGATGCTTACATTTATGATTTAACAAAGTAATCATAGATGAGACAGTAGAAGATGAGACCTTGTAGAGTAGAGGGATCTTGTGAAAATTAAAAATGGATGAACATCTTTTAATGCATTAAATACAATGCTGTTGTTATGCCAAAATGAGTAACTTTGGCTTTATGTAGAGGCGTAGCCCCAAGCAGTCCCAAAACAGGCTATGTCACATTCCAGAAGAAATTTACTAACAAGTATTTGGGGAAGTCATGGTCAAACCTAAAGTGATTAAGTAACTCGGTGTTTTTTGCAATAAGATTTTGGGCAACAGCTGTGACTCCGAAAACAGATAATAGGGATGTTTCTAAAAAAAATTATCAGTAAGCAGACCTAGTGGAACATAGTTGAGGGTCTTTTAGGGATTATAATAACAATCTTAGTCTCTGTAGGAAAGAGGACAGTCACTGGCATATTTCCCTGCAGCCCATTATCTGCTCCATTGGATGCCGGTCTATGTTCATCCAAAGATTCTCCTTTGTCTACACGTATTGAACTGCTTAATTCAAAGAGATACCTATTTCAGACGTGTTTCAAATGACTGCTGTTTTTGCAAGAGTTGCCTATGCTGTGAATTTGCCCATCTTGGTATTGGAGGAGATCTTCTATAATCTGCCTTGATAGGAGATTGTCGTTCAGTGTGTAAGCAACGAAAAATGTGTCTGACAATGATTCTCTGCAGAGGGAATGATGCAGTGAGGATTTTTTGCCCCAAAATGCTTCCAAGGCCCCGAATGGATGGAGACAGATTTATGTCCTGTGCAAAAAGTGGTGAAATCTAATCAAGAATCCCAGAGCAGAGGGTAGCCATAATTTCACCGTTCTTAATCAGCCAGAAGACTTGGCTTAGGTGTTGTTGAAAATTTGTAACAGCCACATATTTATTTTGTTGCAGAAGAGTTTAATTCTTGGCAAATTGCGTTAGATGGAAGTGATCATTGGGTGATACTGAAGCTTTATAAGCCACATCCAGATCACAAGGTCCATCTGAACTTTTTAGGTGAGTATTACTGATCTATTGCTTGTTTTCTAAAACAGACTATAAATTTAATGATCACTTTTCAAATACTTTAAAATGAGCTTGAAGTCTCAGGAGATTGATGATGAACAGAGTGGTGAAGTTTGTTCACTTTCTCTATGCAAATATTTAGCTGGAGTCTGGACTATTTCTCATTTAAAACTAATTGTGTGTCCTTATGAAATCTTATTTTGTCCCCAGTTTGTTCCTGTGAATATACAATCAAAGTGGAGTTGTTAAACAAGGATAAAAAGCGCATAGATAAAGGTCTGCGGGGGGGTATTTGCACTTTATACTGATGTTACCTGTTCGCTGGTCAGCTTTGCCTATAAAGCAAAGCACCTCTTCATCCTGTTGTTGTGAAAGCAAAATCTGTTATCAATTGGTCGTTTTGAATACAAGATAAAATATAACATAACTGCATGTTTCAGTGTTATTTGAGGATGACGGCATTTTGGCAAAATCTACCTCAGTTATGCCATGGGGATTCCAGTAAATAGTCTAGCTCACCACAATGGAGTATGCGGAGTGTCTGAATAATACACAAAATAAAGTAAAAAGCAACTCAGTAGAAAAGTGTCATGGCTAAAACTGCGTGTACTTGAGCCATTACAGATCGCTTTCACTTTCAAGGCCTATGACCTGAGGCTTGGATCGCTGCGACAATTATTTTCATTAATAGCTTTCCAATTGACTATACAGAAAAAAATGTTTTTTGCTCGTTACTGTTCACACAAACCCTTTTTTTCCTGTCCACTTAAAACCATAGACATGAACCCCGTTATTCCCAAAGCGCGTAAGGGGGCGTGGTCATGCGTGGGACTTCCCCCGCCCATGTACGTCACATTCCGGAAAAAGGAAATGCATTTTTAGAAATCGTAGTCAGACTATTCTAATAGAATCAAAACCGAAAGTAATGGTTAAACTATTTGTAGCGAAGTCTTCGAGTGTCACCTGTTGACCCCATACGGTGGTTGTGGCGACACGTGGACTTTAACTAATGTCTGTCGAGAAACCGATCAGTAAGTAGCCCAAGTAGTGAGCCTATACTTTGGGATAAAAGCTAATTCAACTGCAGTGTTTAAACCACGGGCGTATAATGCGATTTTTATTATAGATCTATAGGTTTAAACAACTGCTCTCTCCACAGAAAAGAAAAGATCAGTCATGGGTGCAACGTTTTCCAGCCGCTCATCCTCGGTGTCACCATTTGCAGTTTCACTTGTAAGTATAGAACTTGTTGATTTATTCACAAACTTGGTGTTAAACCATATGTTTATAGTATTTTATTATTATTGATGTGTGTTGTGTTGAATGGGATGCTCATTTGTGTTTGCCAAATACTAAGACTCAAATAAACCCAAAAATGCTTTTTATGATATTGTGCGCCTCAGTGACAGCTTATGGCATCTCAAGTTCAGCTGTGATTGTGTTGGTCTATAAAACTATTAAAAAACAATAACCACGAACAATAACCGCTATTTTTCCAGGAGTATTCTGTTCCTTTGGAGATACTGGAGGAGATCTTCCATAATCTACCTCATGATCAGGTGATTCGTTGTTGCAGTTTAGTGTGCAAACAATGGAAGGAAGTGGCTGACAGCGACTGTCTGTGGAGGGAACGATGCAGAAGAGAGGGCTTGTTGCCTCGTGATGTGACCAAGACCCCCGATGACTGGAGAATATATTATGTGTTATGCAAAAAGAGGAGAAATCTACTGAAAAATCCAAGAGCAGAAAGTGAGTTTACCATGCATGTATTCATATTAGTAGACTTGCTTAGGTACGTAGGTATATTTTACCTCTGCAGGTACCCATCCTTAGACCAGTCCAGATATTGTACTTGGGTCTTAGTCATGATTTCCTAGCTGCAAGGTGGCCTGCTTTAGTTTGATGGGGGAAAAGAGAAACCAGGGCCTTCAGAGTGCTAATTAGAATGATTCAGTTAGAAGACTTTGCATAGGTTCGTGGTAACGAATCACTTATGTCTTATCCTTTTTTTTTTTTTTTTTTTTTTTCCTCAGGTAATTTTAAGTACTGGCAAATTCTGTCAAATGGAGGTGACCGCTGGAAGATAGAGAGTCCCATGTTGCCACATCCAAATGAAAATGTTCAGAAAAACTTTGTGACCTCTTATGGGTACATATTGAAATGTATTGATTTTGATGTGCATTATCTAAAATACTAATTAAATTATTAATTATCAAATACTTTAGCATGTGCTTGAAATCACAAATTATTGACTTGAAACTGGAAGGTTACAACCCTTCATTTATGGACCAGTATCAACCACCAATCAAAATAACAGACTGGTGAGAAAGAATGTTTGTTTGACCGTATAACAAATATGGAGCATAATGTCCGTGTATGCTGTCTTTATGTTGATCTTGACAGGTATGCAGCACGTTGGGATTGTGCTTGTGAATATACAATTAAAGTGGAGTTGCTTTCTGGGAATAAAAAGTGCACACAGAAATTTGAACCAGAGACAATTTACTTTGAACAATGGAATGACCAGCAGTGGCATCAGGTGAGTGTCAAATTCAGGTTTTCAATGAAATAGTGGAAAATGTATGGTAATTAAATAAATGTGTTACTGATATTTTTGTCAGATGACGCATGTATTCACAAACTATGGCCCAGGAGTGAGATACATTCGATTTGTCCATGGAGGCAAAGACAGTCAATTTTGGGCAGGATGGTACGGAGTCCGAGTCACTGACAGCTGTGTTGAAATCTGTCCTGAAATTTAATCATTCATTCTGGCTCTGTCCAGATATTTTTAACTGCACTTTATCATTATTGCCTTTTTAACTTATCACAATGTCAAGTGAAAGAAACAATTTTTGCACTATTATCTAATTGAATGCAGTGGTTCCCAGACTTTTCTCATCCAAGATCCATTTAAGACAATGCAAGTAGTTGACTCAATACCATCAGATATGAGCCAGGTCTAAAACCGGGAATTATTCTAGGTATATACTATGGCTAAAGCTTGCTCTTGTTGTTGTTTAATGAGACAATTTCTACAGTTATTCTAAACAAACACACAAAGAAGAAAATGTGGATTAAAACACCATGCACCAGTGTGAGAATCAAAACTAATGAATACAAAATATAGCTTTATATGTACTTATTGTACTGTAATAGAATCATTATGTATTGGTTAATCATTTGTATCAGTCCTGTTTTTTGTGTTTTGGGGGGACATTTTCATTGCACTTTTACCTTATGCATATAAATATTCAACTCATATTTTCAGTTTCTTTTATACATCTCCTGCTTGAGCTACAATATGAAACTCAAAGCCAGACATTGTTTTGATTGTAATCACTAATAGTGATAGTGCTGAAATTTACAAATTAAATTAATATTTGTCAAAGTAAAAGAAATGGTCTATGCATATCACTTTCCCTGATGTAAACTGTCACAGCTTACTGAAATTGTTGCTCGTTGGTCATTCATTGGTGCTTAATCTGACTTCTTAAATACAGTACAGACAAATCACAATGCACAGCACTCATTTTGTAAAAACCTTTTATCAGTCCATTATAAATGTAATACAATTGATCTTTCAGTCACTTCTCTGTTTCAATGTTCAGATGTTAATCATGTGCATGACTATGGCATGTTTGCTCTTATCAAACAAGGCAAAAAACATAGTTTCAAATAGTTTATTACATAATTATATTGCTTAAGATAACACAATACAAGATGGAACTCAAGCCAAATAGTTCATTTTGATCCTGATCTCTAATAAGTTAGTTGTATTAGGGTATTTACAAGGCAAACTAATAAAACTAAAACGTTTTGATGATTTCATCAACTTCATTTTTTGCACGAAACATGTGGACACCAAACATTAGTGACGACACATTACGGTCCCATTGTAGTTTTGATATGGCAAATTCATTCTAAAGCTAAAAAAACCAAGAGCATATTTACACTATTAATATAGTATTGGTTACAATTGTTTTATAGCACTTGAGCAAATAAAGGAGAATACATCCTGTGATCTACAAACCTTTAAATTGGTCAAGGTCTTTGTTTAGATTTTATGAAACTAACTAAAAGGCACAACACAATATTAAAATGTTAAGAACTGACTTTCAAACTCAGTCTAAGTGTGTTTAAGTTGTAGTTCTCAGGAAGCATGCATAATATCTTCATGGAATGTGCAAATCAGTACTGTTAATCAAAATATGACAAGAGCGGAGTCTTTAGAGTAGCACACATTTACGTTTTTTCTTAGGTTCAGGTGGCTCCAGGGCAGCCAGTATTGCCTCATCAAACACATTCTTTAACCCTTTCTGTGGAGAGAAAATATGCATGTTCAAAACAGCTGTTCCCCTGAAAGAAAGCAATGTTTAAAGTATGTCAAAAGCAAAACAGGCTTGAGAAAAAGAAATGAAGCAAAGCAATCAAAATGTTATTTTATTTAAATTGTATTATACAAGACTTTACCCATGATATTGTCTCCGAGCAGACGAACATCTTATGAAAAATGCTGCAGTAGATAAATGTGTAGTTACACCTAATTAAATACTTTTAATACTGGGTCTTGGGGATTGGATATTAAGGTTTAAAATTCAAATGAACCCCAAAACATTTTACTTGCACATGTGGTATTGAGAAAATAATTGGCACTCAGCAAATAGGCAGCACAAGTTCATTATGATTGAGCAAAGTTAATAAAGAAAGCATACAAACAAAAGGGATGTTAATCAGAGTATAAAATAGCATGATTTCTGGAGTTTCATTGTAAGTAAGCAGCAGACAATCAAGAGGCAAAGTAGGACACAAGACATCAGAACAAACAGCATTTTCTCTTTCTTTGAGTTTCAGGGGGCTCTAAAGCAGCTAGGATTGCCTCATCAAAAACGTTCTTCAATCCTCGCTACAGAAAGAGGAAAAGACAGACAGACAGGCACACGCATCGTTAGATGGAGCAGTAGCTTAATGTTATTAGTGATAGCTAAAGTATTTTAGTATTGGGGAGTATTGCTGGTTTTCAGATTACATCACAGCATTCTAGGCCTGAAATGTTTAAAAAGTAACTTTTTGGGTAAAAGGTCAGCTACTGTTCCATTGTATTTTATTAAATGAATGCATTTATTCAATTATGTGTTTGCTTGTCTCTATGGAAGTAGTTAAGTTCAATGCTATACTTTGGAACATCCTGGGAAAAGCCACATCTCCAAAGGGTGGTGGAATTTAAACTAGAGACGGTGAAATTGCTTTTGTATATGTGCATATTTTTGTTGTTATTTTCACAGTTCCAGTGTCTAGTAACCAACTATCAAGCTCAGGATGTTTTAAAATATATTTCATATGAAAATTCTATATAAATCAATAGAAAAACTGACTGCCCCATCTGAAAATGTAACATCATTGTCTAGAATCTGAAAGCCACCAGCACACCCATTGATTTGTGTGCACTGTATCACATTTATTGCAAACAACGTACCTGTGTTAAGGCTGAGCATTCCACATATTTGACTGCTTTGAGATCCCGAGCCAGTTTTTCTGCTGTCTCTGGGGTGATGGGCTTCTGTTTGTTCTTGGCTAGTTTCTCCACCGTGGAAGGATCATCTCGCAAATCAATCTGAGTGCCTACCAACAGGAAAGGAGTCTTGGGACAGTGGTGGGTAATTTCTGGAACCCACTGAGAGATAGTAGAGAAAACATATAATCAGATATTATTAACAGCAATTGGTATATTTCATTTCATAAATATAAAACAAATGCCTTACCTTTTCTTTAACATTTTCAAAAGAGGATGGAGACACAACAGAAAAACAGACTAAGAAAACATCAGTCTGAGGGTAGCTTAGTGGTCGTAATCTATCATAATCCTCCTGACCTAAAAGAAAATCCCATATTGAATTGCTGTGCATATTAGAAAATGAAAACAGTTTTATAAAAACAGACAACAGATAACACAAATTCCTACCTGCTGTATCAAACAAACCCAAGGTGTAGGGTTCACCTCCGATCATTACAGTTACTGCATAGTTGTCAAACACCTATATTTGTAAAAGAGATAATAATCAGTGCCACATTATGTAGATAGAGACACTGTATAGTGGAGTACAATATACTCACAGTGGGTACGTATTCAGAGGGGAATTTGTTGGTGGTGTAAGAAATGAGGAGACAGGTTTTACCCACTGCTCCATCGCCCACCACCACACACTTGATCGTCTGCATCTTGTTGTGATTCGGCTGAAAGACGCAAAAATGTGCTGATAACACGGATTGAACATCAAAGGGTTTAATGACATTATATACCTCCTAATATGTCTTTGGCTAAGGATTCGTTACCACACTTAGCTACTCTGGTTGTGCCTAGCTTAGTGAAATCACAACACTGCTAAATGGCATCGTATTAAATGGAAAATATCTGTGTACTATCAAAATACAATGACAAGCCCAAAGCTATTAAAACATAGAATTAGAATTTACATTGAAATATGCCAGAGACCAGCACACACCAGAAAACTGTATAAATCTTTAGATAATATTAGCCTAGCCTCTAGCTGGTTAGTTAGCCAGCTTCCGATGAGCTAAGCTTAGCTTTCAAACTAAATGTTCAATCAGTAGATTTACGCACGCCCCGCTCATTATGTAGAGCCACAAACAAACAAACAGAAATGTTTGCTTGTGTCCAAATATGTCAGTATTTAGCTTACGTGCTGATTTTCCGTGGTCTTCGCCCGAGCTTAGATTTCTTTCGCCGGGCGTTGGCAGCAGCGGCAACAGCAGCAGCAGCAACTTACAGAAGATCCGAGCCTCCCAAGCCAGGCTGCACCGGGAAGTCAAGCTGGCCTCAAAACCACCGGAAATCACCGTACAACCTTATTAATACAGCTATAGCCCGTGAATGAGTGGACCTAATGTTATATCTGTGTAAAAGGATTCAATAGTCACTCTAAATATCACCTCTGTATAGTTTTAATGACACGCATGTGCTTCAATGATGAAAAGTAAAGTTGCCTGTTTTCTTGGAGTTTCCGGTGAAAATGACGTCACCTGTGCGGCCCTTCTGGGCTTGCACCATAGACTGGCTTGCCGCACGAGCCTCCCAAGGAGCTTCACGCGCGCATGCCGTGCTGCTTTGATGCTCAGCGTTGAACCAACTAGATAAATTCGATTTAAAAAAAAAAAAAAAAAAAAAAGAGACTGGCTTACTTACTTCTATGGCTTGTACATGGCCTTGCACTGGCATGAGCCTTTATCGTGTCTTCATATCTGTCAGTGTGCAATTCAGAGGGCTATTTTATTACTCTGCATTTATTTCAAAGTGCCATCCCTTGCATCTAGAGTCAAATTGTGTACAGGTAATGTACAATACCACATAACACAGTTGTAAACAATCTGAGCTATTTATTCTAATACCAATTTAATATGGAACATTGAGTGAAATCTACCTTATTAGATGCTACTTGTCGCCAATTCCATTCTTTTCAGCAGAAATCATACAATACAGCAGATGGCGCTAAATACTAGATTTACTAGTTTTATAGGCAACAAGTTTAGGCTATGGTCTATAACGGTCTAACGTTTTCATTATTTGAATCTTTTGACACAAGTTACAACTAACAAAGCTGGATATATTTACATTGTAGAACTGTAGAATTGTAACGCGTGGACTCTCAATCGGCATAGGAACACTCATTTGGCATAAAATTGTCTATTGAGCTCAACTTGTAGGCACTAGTCCATGATTGTTTGATCTAAGGTATAATTCCATCTGTAAAATAAATCTATCATAATGACAAGCCATGAACAGTAATGTTAATAATCTCAATACCGATTAATAATAAATAAATAAATAAAACAAAGAAATAACAGTTATATTCATTTTATAAAATCAAACTTTAGTTTGTGATATATTAACAACCATTTTACAATAAAAAGTCTAGAAGAAACATCTGATTCTCAGCTCCTCACAACAAGGTATATATTGACTGCATGTCTATACAAAGTAAAATATAATTCACATAATGAACTATTAAAAGAAAAAATATATGAGGAGCTAATTTAGAGACACTTGTAAAACCTATGTTCCTATAATGTAGCATGGTAAAAATAACCACTCTCAGCTGCTGCCCTTCTCTTTCTGTTCAGATTTTGCAGATCCATTTTGTTCAGGAGCAGGCTCCTCTACCATGGCTGACTTTTTCTGTGTCCCTGTGGGAAAATAAAGAGGTAATTATTTAGCTGAATGAAAATAGCTAACTCCTCAGTTCACACCAGGTGTGGGTTACCTGTCAAGTAGTTTCTGTGCATTCGGTGGAATAACAGGAGTCCAATAAATACAATGAAACCAATGCAAGCAATGACAACTCCACAAAGCAAGAAACTGTAGCTGCCTTTAGTCTGGATAATCTGTGAATAACAATAAAAAATAACATAATAAAAATGTATTTTAGGAAGTGACTTTGAATATTGCAGTTATATCAGACTTACTTGGCCAACAAGAACCTGCATTACCATCTCCCCCATCCCTGCACTTGTTACTAAGACAGAAGTGGCACATCCTGTAGAAAAGGAAAGAAAACAAATTCAAAGGTATTGCTTGTTTTCTATTATTGTATGTGATGTCCCTCTCTCAGAAGGTCAGGATAGTAATTGTTTAAGTAATATAAAAAATGTTTAATATAAATCATTATCCAAAATTTGTCCAATCATATCATACACATCTGCTTATTTTTGCTAAGTCTGTCAGTGGAGTTCAGTTTAATTTATTTGGGCACTTTAACTTGTATACATCATTAATAAACAGAAACACACATAGTCCAAAGGGCACATTCCAGGGAAAAAAAACATCTCCATGGAGACAAGCTTGTGGTGGACTTTCAACCAGAAATGTTACACTGGGCTGAAAAACACTTAGGCCTGGAGAATGTTGTGATGCCTGTGAAAGTGAGCGATACCTTGGTAATCCAGGATGTCTTCTGTATAGGAGAGCATACAGGGGAAGATACTGCTTAGGAAGAGCCCACACAAACAGGTGCCAACAAACAGAAAGATACTGCTGGTGTAGAAGATGAGCAGCATGAGCACCGTCACGATAGCACCTGCCTGAAATGAAAAACAAACCTCTGAGCTCCAAGTGTGTGGCATCACGGCAGCAAGCGTGCACATGCATAAATGACTCTACCAGGTTAAACATCAGAAGTCTAACTGGCTGGAAACGGTAGGAAAGAGGAATAGATAACAGTCGTCCTGCAGTGATGGCGGCCCAAAATATACTAGCCAGGTAACCAGCAATCTTATGTGGGATGTGCATAGGTGGGCTTACAGCATAGGTGTACACAAATCCTGCATATGCTCCCTGCAAAACACAAAGGTAAGAGTTAGTAACCTATGTCCTATTAGTAATGTAATGTAAGATTAAGATTAAGATTAAGAAAGGGCCACAATAAACAACACAATAAGCAATCATAAAAACTGCAATAATTTAAATGTGCACTATGTATATACACTGTAAACTGTGTGTATAGTTGTCTATACCCAAAGTTACAAGCGGGTGATATCCACTAGGCCAAGTTTCAGTAAGAATGCATGTTATTTTGAGCAATAAAAATATGTCATTTAATAAATTGAAAATAGATCATCTTAATCTATACAGTGGAACATTTCAGGCAAAGCAATAATATCTCCATGGAGATAAACTGGTGGTGAACCCTCCACCAGAAAAGTTGCATTGTGCATAGAAAATATAATTTTCTCTCCATACATCAAAAAGTTCAGTGCTATTATGTTGAACTTGCAAACCCTGAAGTTCAACAATCACCAAACATGTTCATTTATATATGACATTTATTTAATAGGAGGAATAGGCCCTTGAGATTTGATTTTGTTCCATCATAAAAAATAAATACTAAAATGGATTACTCACCACAATACCATCCGTCATAAAAAGCACCAGTCCGCCAAGAATATGAATCATAAAGAAAGACACGGGCAAACCACGCAGGTTATCATTCTGACAGCAACTAAAGATATCCCCATGACCTGTTTCAAAGCACAAGTCACACATAACAAATGATGCACCTTTTGCTTTTAAATGGGTGAATGAGCAGACAGGAACATCTGGACATTTCTATGCAAATGTATGACCTACCTCCTGTCTCGTGTTCTGCCGGCTCCACAGCCTCCTGGCCTTGCTGATTTTCCATGGCCAGTTCATCTTTGTCCAAAAGATGAGGAGTGCCACTGGGGAAACACGGGATCAGCTGCTCTCGATACATAAGATACAACACTGCCAGAGGTACAGGAAGCTAAAAGTGCAACACTATAGTTAGAGCTAGGCAATTAATTGAATTTTTATTAAAGGGCAAATATTATGCTATTTTCAGATCTATGTATGAATGTCACATCAAAAACATATCTGAAGTTGCGTTTTGTTTCACACAAATTCACACAAATTCTGCACATTCAGGCTTAGAGTTCTTCTCTCAAGCTGAAAACACTCTGTAGCACTTTGCAATGGCATGTGATAAAACAGGTGCATCACTGTGTTTTTAAACTCTATACACCTTCACTAGAATCATTTGGATGATTTTCCGCCTAAAATTACCAATTTCTACTGAAGTGAAGGTAAAAGGAGCTCTTAACTTGAAAGTAACCACTACGTGACATCACAAGGAGGAACAGAGCATTTTGAGATTTGGAGATGTAGACAGACTAATAATAAAGATTATTTAACATGAGGAAATTAAAAAAAATGTATGTAAGCTCTCAAGCATATTTTTTTTTATAATAAAAGACCTTTAAGATCCAGATTCAGTAATTTCAGATTGCCGGTGAGGAGGTTTGGAGTTAGAATTTGGACAGAGATGTTTTACTTTTTTTGTGTCTTAAATGGCAGATCTGTTTGTTTATGTTGAATATTTTAAATCATTAGTTTTAGTTTTGAAGACAAAATAAAATCCAAAATTGACACTGATCAATTTAAGGAAAAAATATGATACAAAAAAAAAAAAAAATGTTATGCTGCCCAGTCCTACCTTTAATAGATTTTTTAATTTGCAATTAACTTCTGAATAGTGTTTGAGCCTGTGTTATATTCAGGGCAATTATTTGTAAGATCTAATCAACAGCTTTTGTTTGGCCCCTTTGGCGTGACTGCAGAGGTGAAATTGGGAAATACAGAAATAAATGGAATAGCTTGGTTTCAGTAAGAGAGGCTGTCTAAGTGGCTATAGGTAACATGCAGACTTTGTGGTGATTTTGAACAAATAAAGCGTATAATGGACCATGTCTTGAATATAAAAATGATTGTGTCCAATATTTTTTATAAATCATATATTTGTATGAATAATCGGATTGGTGTTTGTTCTTAAGAATTGTCGAAATGATCCACTGTGTCCAAGTCCTTTTCCTTGTAGATTTCCTTGTCATATAGTCATATTTCCAGAGACAATATATAAGATTTTAATGGGAATATTGGCTTTATAACACTAATAAATACACTTTTACAAGCCTCAATAAATCATGAAGAAAGATTTAATTTATAATGAACAATTTGTTTATTAAGAATGACTCAAATAACATCCTAAAATTACCCCATTCATGAAGTCGTTACTAAGCTTGAATCATTCCTAATAACCTACTTGGTCATTATGAGTCATGTCTTTGTTCGTGCTTTATTAAGGCAATCAATTAAGGTTATTAAATGGTTCCTCTTAAAGCAATGTAGCCAGGTTCTTACGTTGATGAGAGCCATGATCCAAAAGGCATACTGCACGCTGGACTCCTCTTCGCCAAGAGGGGGCGCTGTGCTCTGAGTGATGTTGTGCTCCACGATGGGACTGTGCCTCAGCAGGTTCCTAAAGTGATGTATCATCTCCGTCTCATTCCCCGTGTGGTTCCCACATCCCGATTCAGAGAGGAAAGGATCAGCAATCAGAGGACTCACCAGGGCTCCAAACCCGATGAAGAAGTGAAGAGCCTGCAGAAAGGAGAAAGAGAGGCCAGACACTTAACTTTCCCAAACTTTTCCCAAAAAAAACCTGCTGACCACAGTGAGTTTGTTAAGCTACTTCATTTAGGAGTCATTTATATGTTAATTCCTTGTCTAGATAAGTGCTGACAATAACTTACCTGCAGAAAAACAGCTGAATCTTTCTGATAGATTGTAACGAGTTGTATGTTAGCAATTGTGTCAATAACGCCCATGGCCAGTCCAGAAACAGCCATAGCAATAGCCAGCATAAGCACATTGTTGCACCAGGGGATGATGGCAAAGATTATTGAAATGATGAGAGCTGAGACAAACAATGCTGAGAGTGCACTGAATAACCTTGAAGAGTAAAAAATAATATATAATGTTAATGGATTTTCTAATGAAGAGTTTGTTTGCAAAAACAGATAAGTGCCATTTTAAAAAGTCATCAGAGGTTTGCAGTTTACTCTTTGTATAGCATTGTTTTCAAAAGATTTTTTTTTTTTTACTTCTAGCTAAATATTATATTCCCTCCTTCCTTGATTAGATCCACAAGAAAAAAAAAATCTATATTCAATAATAATAGCTGAATGTATCAAAAAGGACTTCATGGTAATTTTTCAAAATGTAGATATCTATTTTTGCAACTGAACTCAACTCTTCATATTCAGATGTTTACAAGACTTACGTCCTCTTAAAAACCCCGCCAACAGAGCTGCCAACTAACAAACAAAACTGCTGGGCAAAGAAGACCCAGGTAATTTCACTGAGTGTGGATTTAGTTTGACATTGCAAGTCCAAAATGGTAGGTCCAAGAAACGCTATGCACAATCCAAAACTGAAGAAAACACTCCAGTAGGTCAATGTGTGATGGGCATTCCTTTTGAAAAGCGTTACTATTCGCTCATCCACAAACATCTTGTACAGAGCTCAATATACAGCAGAAAGATCACCACTACAATGTCTTCAACTAAGAATCCAGGTGGTCTTTTAATGCTTTGGGCTCCCACCTCTTTTTATTGCCCAACTGAAACGGATGTCCACTTGAGTTAATGGGTAAAGCTCAACTCTTTCTTACAAAATATGAATGGAGTCAATGATTTCCATCAAAAAAATATCCTGTTGAGGTGTCTGTTGATATGTCACAACACTTTCAGATGTACCAATGGGAAAATGAGTCACTCAACATGACACACATAGGACACTATGGTACCTTACTCTTCTCGATCTTAAACACAGTGAATTAATGGAATGATTTCAGCATACATGTCCTTTTAACCACTCTGATTGTATGTGTTTAAAATAAAATAGGTTTAACTGCATTCCAATGACTTACTAGATATTTAAATACATAACAAATACACATAACTATGCAGGGGTCACCTGTTTGTCTGCATGGAGTTATTGCACTCAGTCTAGAATGTTATGACGATAAGATGTTCATGTTAGAGTGTAGGACGCTCAACCAGATACAAGTTGAAAATTAGTACTTGATACACTCTGTATGCATTGCATCAGCGGCAAGCTTTGTTTTGTAACTATGTCTGATTGCATTATGCCAAATAAATAAATAAAAAGTTGCACTGCATGGAAATAAATAATTAAATGGCAAAAAAAGAAACACATTTATTTTATTTTGGGTCATCCCTTAAAATTAGTTATCTTATACTGAGGGAATTATACTAAAGCCCACAATGAATTCTACAAGTAAGTTCTACACCTGCAAAATTACAATTACAATTACAATTATAAAATGTGCACATAGTTTAGAGCGGCTGCATAGTATAACCATAGCCTATAGTAAATGGTAAAGGTCTTCACCATGTCACTAATTTACTAAAATCTGGAACTCACTGCAGGCATCCTTCAGGTAACAGGCTTTGGGAAGTTTTTCTGTTTACACAAAAGGCATTCATTGACACTAACCCCCCCCACACACACTTCCTCTATTTCAAATATGGTCAAAAGTAGGTTCTTTGAGTAATTGTCAACTAATGGAAATCTATGAGGCTGTGCACACAGACGTTAAAAATAAACAGGTGGTGCATGCTCAGTGAGTGAATGATTTTAAACTCTATTTTTATATCAAGACCCAATTCAGCCTTTTCTAATAATACATTTTACATAATAAAATATGCATGTGTAAACAACAGCTACTTCCAGGGCCTATACTGACAAATAGAGGTGGGTTGTATATCGATTTAATGACAAATGAGATGGAGATGTTATTGCTTTGCCTGGATAGTTCCACTACTCTGGCAAAGAAGACCTATTGTGCTTGTGTCTGCTATAATATTAATCTATGACAACCGTGGATAATTGTTATAATTTTGACATTTTAAATTGCAATATTCATCTAAAACAACTTAATAAAAGAAACAAGTCCACTGGGTTAGAAAACTGCGGTACCCAGTGAGAGCTGACATTGTCGTAAATGTCATCACAACAAAGAGCCGTGATGTTGTCACAGCCTCGGATGGATACCTGCTGATCACTCTAGCAAGTCACAAATTTTTGTTATTTTTGTTAATATGTGATGCTGCTGAATTCTACACATATCATAGATTAAGAAAATAAAACTGGATAAAGATGCAAGTACAGAAAAGCGTCCATATATCGGTAACAGTGAAAGCTGAAATTGATCAGCAAAATGGTGTCTTGCAAATAAGTGATTAAAGATTGCTTAAACATGCACAAATCACTCTAAATACAACTGAGTAAATTATGATAAACTTAACAAAGGTGATGCCACCTGTCAGACCCCACTCATAAGAATGCATGTTTTTAAATATTAAGCAATAAAGACACTTAATTGAAGTAAATCAAGACTGACCAGTTTAATGCCATACTGTGGAAAATTTTAGTCAGACAACTATCCAGCAAATCCCCACAAGAAAGGTGACTGAGAGCATCTTTAACCATCTTTTCAGATTCAACACAGTTTGTTTTCTATCATCATATCGCTTACCGTCTACTGACTAGAACTGTTTACTTAATACATTTGGTATGTTGATGAAAGCTACACAGAAGGGCAACACATTAGGTGCCGATTGGAAAGGGGACAAAGCAGAGTTGCCATGTTGCTTCCTCTGAGTCTCATCTCCATAGCCTGACATTTAGCCAACTCTCAACACAGGGCAGTGCCAGGAATGTGACAGGAATTATAATTTCATTACTCTGTTTTCTCTCTGGGCCTGTGTTGCACTTTTACATCATTTTATCTGCAGTGTGAAAGAGTCACCCAAGTAAAGACTTGTTTAAGATGAAGTAAGGGCACAAATACAAAATGCATGTTAGAAAAAAAAGTATGTAGAGATTAATCAATACTATTGTCAATAAAACGATATACTTATTTGAACAAGTATGGGTACAGGGCAAACAGAAATCACATTAATAGGACAAAGATGGATTTTCCCTGAATAATTTGAATAATTTTTTAATAGTCTTCGTTGTCTATATCAGAAATAGTATAAAAATGTGTTATTATTAGTATAAAATACTATAAATTATCTTGAAAGCAGAATTGATTATGATGCCCTTTCTTATAAATACTATAAACAGCAATCAAATAGCCAATAGGTATGTGATATGGACAAAAAATTATATCTGGAACGAAATCCATGCGAGACAGATAATGTTTGTAAAATCTCAACTACAGGCAAGTAGGTATATGAAGGTGCACTATGCAACTTTTCTGGTAGGGGCCCCAACACCTGATTAAAATGTGTGCATTTTGATGAGTGTTAAATAAAATATTGTATAATACTCTTTATGTCTTTATTGCTGCATCTGATATGTTAAAAAGTGCACATTTGTTTATGAATGAATTGTTTCTAACATACCATATTATGATATTTTCTAATCTGGTACAATATTGTTACCTCATCAAAACATATCTGAATTTGTGTTTTGTTTCATTCACATGTTTAGCACACAAATCCTGCACATTCTTCTTTAGTTATTCTTTCAGACAGAAAACACTCTGTTCCACCTTGTGATGTCATGTGGAAATACATATATATTTGCACAATATAGATAAAATAATCTTTTTCTTGTGTCCCATAGGAGAATTTTTTCTTGGGACAGTGGGCCACATGCTTCACACAAAGACAAAACAACACAGCAACATAAGCCCAAACAAACATCCACCACAGAACATAAATAAAGAGACCAAGTATAACCACAAATGATACGCCATCAGTGATCCTTAACTCACTTTATGCAGACAAGCCCTCCACAGTCTTATGTTCTATTAATAAATGCACATTTCCTAAGCCTATGTGCAGTTTAAATGCACAACAGGCTTTAATCACTTAGATCTGACAAATACACGCCAGTTAAAAACACTGGTAATCTATGTACATTTTGTCTCATTTAGTCTGGTACAGAGACTGGAACTGCCCACCCGTGTCCCCTCCTCTGTCTCTCTACAGGCCCAAAATAGAGCTGAGGATATGTGGTATGCAAACAGTATACCATGTAGTGATATTCTTCGAGGTACAGTTCATTTGATCTAACAGCTGGTGAAGCCAAACAGACATTGGCACATATGGGTGTAGTTAATACAACATATGACAATTTTGTGATACAGACAAAAAAAAAAATAGAAATATGAAATGTTTTCCACATAAAGACAATCACAATATACAGAAATGTGTGCAAATGCAAATACTGCCTGTCTGACTTCCGTATCTTCCATTGTCTGAAAGATTACGGGACATTTTCTATGATATACTGCGGTGTTTTGGATGTTTTCTAAAATTAGGGGAACTACAATGTTAACAATAATTTTAATATCTCATTGTACTAGACAATACATTGCACCTCCTTCTAGATCATATCATACATAAAAAAATGTCCAAGAACTTTTTTTTTTTTTGACTAATTAATCATGTTTTTTTTTAAGCAAAATTCTGCTGTTTTGCTTGCAACTGCATGGTCAAAAACGTCAATGATCCTTTTCAACAAACATGAACACTTGTTAATCTTTTGAAATGACACAAAAGGATCACAGTGATGTTTTGATGGGGAATTTACAGAGAATAAGTAGCATTTCTACAATACGGTGAGCCCATGATTTCAATGAATAACTCTGAGCCTGAATTACCAAAGCGCAGCAGCCTGTGTCACATCTGGAGCCCTGTGAGGATAATGGCTTCTGTCGCCCAACCTTCAGTTCAGTCTTTCAAATGAATCCACTCAATCTTTGATCACAGTTTGAAAAGAGGATTCTTCATAATGAACAGGGCAGAAATGGTAAGGTTTAAGGCTAAGTTGTACGAGGTTTCATCATCAATAATGTACTTTTGGATTTTGAAAAAATAAAAATAAAATGCTGGTGCACTTTATCAAATATTATTTTTAAAAAAACTAAAAAACATTTATTCTAGTAAATAGTTTGAGCAAAGAAGATTAATTGATTAAATAATTGTAATATTACAGAAATATATTGTAATATTGTCCATTTTAATTCATTATTGTTCACATTTTTAGCCATAGAAAATTGCCTGATGCCCTTCCTCCACTCACACACAAATCACAAACCTCTTTATTTGGGCTCAGAAAAAATTCCTTGCTTCCAAGTCCTTTAACCTTGCAATAAACACATTGTTTTTAATCATCCCAGTTAAACTGTGTAACTTTTCTGGTGGCAGCAGATGGCACCACCAGGCTAAGGTACAGGTCAGATCTGTAGGAAAGGCAAACCCACTCACAGTATGAATGCATGTTTTCTGAGGTACTTTTAGCAATAACAACACTTGCAATTGAATAAATAGATGTTTAATGCTATACTGTGGAAGATTTGAGGCAAAGCAATACAATCTCCACAGAGACCAGTAGACATACATACATAGTCTTACATAGTGAATCTTTAAAATAAATAATTGCTTGAAAAAGAGCCTCTGAAATAAATGTTTGACTAATTGAACTACTTAACTCCTTTGCATTTCAGAGTATGTGCATGCACCTGAAT